AATGGATTAAAGAGACAACCTGTAGAATGGGAAAAGATTTTTGCGAACTAATCATCTGACAAGGGAATTTTTTTTTTTTTTTTTTTTGAGTAGGGTCTCACTGAACCCAGGCTAGAGTGCAGTGATCATAGCTCACTGCAGCTTCAAACTTCTGAGCTCAAGTGATCCTTCTGCATCAGCCTTACAAGTAGCTAGAACTACAGACATGCACCACCATGAACAGCTGATTTAAAAAAAAAAAATTTGTAGAGACAGGGTCTCACTGTCTTGCCCAGGCTGATCTCAAATTTCTGGCCTCAAGCTATTCTCTCACCTTCACCTCTCAAAATGGTGGAATTACAGGCGTGAGCCACTGCACCTAGCCACTGATGAGAGATTAATATCCAGAACACACAAGGAACTAAAAAACTCAAGAGCAAAATAATAATAATAATCTGATTTTAAAATGAGCAAATGATCTGAATAGACATCTCTCAAAAGAAGACATGCATATGATCAAGTTTACAAAAAACATTCAACATCATTAATCATCAAGGAAATGCAAATCAAACCCACAATGAGATAGCATCTCACCCCAGTTAGAATGGGTATCATAAAAAAGACAAAAAAATAACAAATGCTGGCAAAGGTCCAGAGAAAGGGGGACTCATCTACACTGTTGATGAAGATGTAAATTAGGACAGCTGTTACAGGAAACAGTATGGATGTTCCTCAAAAACTAAAAATAGAACCACCATATGACACAGCAATTCCAGTACTGAGTATTTATCCATAGGAAAGAAAATCAGAGTGTCAAAGAGATATCTGCATTGCCATGTTTATTACACTATTTACAGTAGCCAAGATATGGAATAAACCTGTGTCTATCAACAGATGGATGGATAAAGTAAATGTGGTGTATATACACAATGGAATACTATTCTGCCATGTAAAGAATGAAATCCTGTCATTCACAGCAACATGACTGAGGCTGGAGGACAGTAATGGTTAGCGAAATTAGCCAAGCACAGGAAGATAAATGCCACATGTTCTCACTCATATATCGATGCTAAAAAAGTTGATCTCATGGAAGTAGAGAGTAGAATAGTGATTACTAAAGGCTGAGAAGGGTAGGAGGAAGAGGAGTATAGGGAGAGATTGGTTCACAGATACAAAATTATAACCAGATAAGTGGAATAAATTCTAGTGTTCTATATAGCATTGTAGGGTGGCTAGAGTTAACAATTTATTGTATATTTTCTTTTTTTTTTTTGAGACAGTCTCACGCTGTCACCCAGGCTGCAGTGCAGTGGTGTGATCTCAGCTCACTGCAACCTCCGCCTCCCAGGTTCAAGTGATTCTCCTGCCTCAGCCTCCCAAGTAGCTGGAATTACAGGTGTACGGCATCATGCTCAGCTAAATTTTGTATTTTTAGTACAGACGGCGTTTCACGTTGGCCAGGCTGCTCTCGAACTCCTGATCTCCGGTGATCCACCAGCCTCAGCCTCCCAAAGTGCTGGGATTACAGGCATGAGCCACCATGCCTGACTTTTTGTATATTTTCAAATCGCTGGAAGACAGGATTTTGAATGTTTCCAGTATAAAGAAACAGCAAATGTTTAAGGTGATGGATTTGCTAATTATGTTGATTTGATCACTACACGTTGTACACATGTATCAAAATACCACACTGTCCCTCATAATTATGCACAATTATCTATCAATTAATAATTTAAAAATAGGTATGATAAGGCTGATGCTGCAAATACCAAGTCTAATTAAAACTCTCAGAAATTATGTGCCATTAGTTCATTATATAAGGTTCCACAGTTTTTACAAGCCACAAATTAACTTAAATATTACTTAGTGTTTTACATTTGATATGAATAGCTGATGATATCTTTTGCAATTTCTTGATTTTCCTTAGATTTTGGGCACAGTCACTATACACGAGGAAAGAAAACAACAAAATCAAAGGAAAGCCCTTTCCCTAGACTGCCCAATTTTGAAAAATAGGCCTGCAAGACACTGTTGTGGATGACTGAAATTATTTTATTGGGGAACAAGTGCTGGTTCTGAATGAAAAGACACAGGATTGAGAAGTTGCCATCTATCACCTATAAAAAGGGGTATGAATATGAATTGAGCTAATAAAGACATATGGCAAGTAGAAGACATTATGAGCCAATCTCCAATGCTTGCTTACAGCAGTAGTAATAATAAAAAAATATGTACTGATCATTAAAAAAGGAATGTGTAATGACAAATAGAATTGGCCAGGTGCAGTGACTCACGCCTGTAATCCCAGCACTTTTGGAGGCCAAGGCAGGCTGATCACCTGAGGTCAGGGATTTGAGACCAGCTTGGCCAACATGGTGAAATCTTGTCTCTACTAAAAATACAAAAATTAGCCGGGCGTGGTGGCGCATGTCTGTAATCCCAGCTACTCAGGAGGCCGAGGCAGGAGAATCACTTGAACCCAGGAGGCAGAGGTTGCAGTGAGCCGAGATCACACTACTGCACCCCAGCCTGGACAACAGAATGAGGGTCCATCTCAAAAAACAAAAAAAGAAAAAATAAAGAAAATGTTTTGTTTTATGACTCTCTGTCCCTTTACTGCCATTATCTTAACCATTATTTTTTTAAAAAAATCATATCTAGTATTAATCCACTAGAAACAGCTGTTAAAAAACAAAAGCAAACACACAGCTTTTGTGAAGATACTTATTAGGGCCCCTAGCAGTATCAATCCCAGATCCCAGCCTTGCCCCCAACACCCCCAACACCCTTCCCCACTTCCCTCCACCCCACCTCCACCCCCGGCCTATCCTCCCATTATAACCTACCCTTTTCTATTATGAAGCAGTTTAGGTCAATAGTGCCATATTGAAGGAAAAAAAAACGTGAGAGCAGCTTTGGCCAAGAGGCAGTCCTCATGACTACAATACATTATTTGTACTCACAAGAAACCAACAACCCTTATCATGTACGTTAAAATATCAACAGAATGTGCAAACTGCAACATAGGCACTGAGATCGTGCGAATCACCAAGACAAAGGTGACTATGCCTTGGAAAGTCTGTTGACGCAGGGAAACTTCCCCTGAGATTGTTCTTTGCCCCAGAGTGGCATCTGAAACTATTTCCCCCGTGCTCCAAGTATATTTACTGTTTCATACATGGCTGCTCATCCAGTCCCAGAATGTGGCATATTTTAGAAATCCTTGGCATTCCTAGAACCTGCTATCTATAAATATGACCCCAGGACAAAGAATTGAAATAAAAATAGGGCAACCTTGAGGCTAAATTAATGAATGTATGCAAGGGTTCAATGAAAGCTCAGCTTATCTGATGAGATTTTTCTACCAAATCCTGCCTTCCCTTCATATCGCCTTACAATTAGGGAAGACTCCGGAATACTAAACTCTGGACACAGTATCTCTAAAGTGGGTATGGAATAATATTAAGGAAAGCAAACGTAAAAGGAGTTCTAAGGAGCATATGCTAAATCTGAGCAATATCAGCTTTCCAAAAACATGGTTTCAACAACATGGCAATTCCTCAAGCAACCCGAAAACCAGTTGTGTAAATCAGACCTGGAAGACAGAAGTTCAGATAGAGACACTACTAGGTTATCTAGTGAATACATGATAGCATTGCTATTTTGAATACAGTGATCTTAGAAAGATACACTTTTCTGAGAACTGGGCTAATGAAATAGATTTATTAATTCATGCCATAATTAACACAGAATTTTTTTTTTAAGGCACTCCTTTTTCTGAGAAAAAATAAGACAAAAAGTCACCCAACATACATATTTGAATTTGCTAATTTTCAGTCAAGATCACTCCTAATAGAGTTTGTGGGGCAAAATTTCCCCAAACAACAAAGGGAAAGTAGGGAGAGTGAGAACAGAGAGGTGGATGGCCATGAGAGTAACCTATTTGCAAGTTCTCTTTTGGGATGAAATCCAACTAGCTAGATAGATAAGAAGAGTATAAACTGATATATGCTATGCTAGGCCTACCTAGTTAAATTGCCTTAATTCATCTGCAAAATAACTGTAATCTGTGATATTGCTCAAGGTGGAGTTCAGAGGGCCAGAGTCCAAATAACTAGACTAAAAAATAAGATTTAAGTGGGGGGAGGGGGGAGAGAGTCAGTGGCTCATGTTCTTGTTTCCCATTTGTTCCAGTCCAATAAAATCTAACTATGTCACTGAAATGAAAAACAAAAAACTCTTGTTTGTAATAGAAAAGAATTTAACTTACTCAAAACCAGAAAAGGGGGGAAGGGAGGGAGGAATAATGCAATACACATTTAGAAATATAGAATTTATTTATATTCATAAGACAGTTTCACATTCTGTACATGGCTACCAGAACAGATACCATACTCTCAGGAGTTCACAACGGCATTATATTGCTGTCAAACATTGCTTATGCTGTGTGAGTTGGGGAAAACTTATTTCTCCCTCTAAAAAAAATTAAGGCTCAGTTTCCAAAAGGTAATTATATCAGTCATTTTTTCTGTTTAAGAGACTGGGAAAATCAGGGAATAAACCACAAAGGGGTGGAGGGTGAGGGGTAGCTCCGCACACTCTCATTCATTCATACTGAAGTTACTCAATGTGATTTTTTTTTTTAAGGCTCCTTCTATCTGAAAATGTGTTTGGTTATAAAAACAAACAAATCAGTAGATGGGAGGGGTACTAGGTATAGATCTACAGCATTCAAACAAGGAAAACTAAGCTCTTTGTTACCAGTTGCTGGCTAAAATGTGGTCTATGAGCTGCCTACATATAAATGCACACACACATTAACTTTGACTCACTTTTCTTTGGTGAAGCTTAATTCACCTGCAAAATAACTGTAATCTGTGACATTGCTCAAGGTGGAGTTCACAGGGCCAGAGAACTCCTGTGAAAAAGAAAAGTAGTATTTCTCTTCCAACATACTAATAACACTAATTTATGTTTCCTTTTGACTTTCAGAGCAGGTGGCCACAAAGTTGTCCCTTTTCCTAAATACAATCCTAAATACAATGGAGGGTTCCTTTCAACCTTGCAGTAGACCATAACCATAATGGTCATCTTGCACTGATGTGTAATCTCACCATTTAAGTGACTGAAGAAAGTGGCAAGGCTAATTATAAAAAGAGAGTTTGGGCATTTTTGGAGAATTACCCTATCGATGAGTTCCAAACACACTTTCAAGCACTTTTTTCTATACAAATATTTCATTCAGTCAACAGTGACGCCATCATTTTATCAAAGCAGAATCTGTTTGAACTCAGTAAACCACCTTACAATCCATGGGGCTAATGTTACAACAACAACAAAAGCCAAAAAGGGCACCTGTAGGTTCTGCCTCTGGCATAAAGAGGTAGAGACAATCATTCTGTAGAAAAGATTCACAATCATAATAAAAACAAAACAGAAAACAAAGCCATTCCATTTCTAAGGGCTAGTTCTAGATCTAAAGGCTGTCAGCTGTCCTCTTAGCTGACAGATCCATTGCCCACAATCATCTTGCTGTAATTTTTCTGCTGCTCTTCCTTGAGGGTGTCCTTCACCTTTGCTCTCTTTAGTCCTCCATCCCTGCGAACAGAAAGACAAATACATAAAAGATACTTTACAGCGGTGATTTAAAAGAGTTAACTTAATAATAACATGCTGTATGATGCCATGACGCTTAGGCAGCTGGGATGAAATAAGGGAAAGAACACTGGATTTGGAAACAGGAAGACCCAGATTTCAGTCTCTGCCCTACCACTTGCCAAGCATACATTGCTTTGAGGAAGCAACAATCTCTCTGATGTTTGGTTAATATAAGTAACAATATCTCCAACTCAGTTTCTTTAGAAGTTAAGGGGTGGTGTATTAAATATTTGGATTGGCCAGGTGCAGTGGCTCACATCTGTAATCCCAGCACTTTAGGAGGCTGAGGTGGGTGGATCACCTCAGATCAGGAGTTCGAGACCAGCCTGGCCAACATGGTGAAACCCTGTCTCTACTGAAAATACAAAATTAGCTGGGCATGGTGGCGCATGCCTGTAATCCCAGCTACCTGGGAGGCTGAGGCAGGAGAATCGCTTGAATCTGGGAGGCGGAGGTTGTGGTGAACCGAGATCATGCCATTGCACTCCAGCCTGGGCAACAAGAGTGAAACTTCGTCTCAAAAAAACAAACAAACAAAAAAAACAAAAATTGGATTGAAACAAGGATTATTAAAACTAGGATTATTTCTCTATCTTGTTCCTTAAGGAAAACAAAATACTGGTTTTTCATCTACCTATGTCTTACTGGAAAACCATAGGAAAATTTAAAATATACACAGAAGAAACGGTAAGGGTATACTGTATATGTGTGGGTAAATTTCTTAAAGATAAATGATTATTTAAAAAAGATAAATCATTGTTCAGATATAACCCTATCTATGTTTAACAAGTTGTATTTTCATTCAAAGCACTATATTTCCAGCATTTATAATCTTTTATATTCCAAAACAGACTCAGAATAAAACAAAAAACAAAATCACAAGTTGCATTCAACCAGAAGTGCCTATGTAAGCAGCATTCCTTCATTCAGAACCTGTAAATCTTTGAACTCTCTCCAGGGTGCCTGTCTGGGTATAAGAACTCTGCAGGCTTTTCCTTCTTTGGATTACACACAAAGAAACAAAGGAGTTGCTGGGAGTAGTTTGGACTACGATAGGTCACTATCTGGCTCCTAATCTAATGTTTTAGATTTTAACTGCTAAGAGAGCATGGGCTAAGAACTTGCTTACTTTATACTCTGACTGTTTAATTTTAACCTAGTTAAGCATGCATGTTTACCAAATGCTTTCTGATGATGATGAATGATCATAGGTTAGCCAGTGAACTCAGTGCCGTGAGGACAGAACTTGACCTCCATAGAGACACCTGCTTGAGACCAATGCAGTGCTCTGGCTTCTAGAGTCAAATCTAAGACGCAGCAATAAGTCCTCAACTTAAAAACAGACTGTGATCCACAAATCATCCAGGGGGTCAGTTGTGGGAAGTTTTCATGAAACAAGATGATAATTCGTTGTTAGGTCCACAGAATTGTCCACATAAGCCTCTTTTATCCAAATGAGCTTCTTCTATTAACAGCACTTACCCGAATTCTGAATAGTGAGAACTAAGGCAGCTAAAGAAATAAGAAAGGCCTTTCTCCTTTCACAAGATCCAAGCCCAAAACAGGCAAAAATGTAAGTCTTGAGCAATCTGACATCATCTTGTACAATTCTCCTTCCCAAGCACCCAATAAACCTCATGCTGCCCTAAGCACTTAAACTGTGACTTGCCACCCCTAGAGACTTCAAAATTTTACCCAATTCCCCTTTGCAATGGCAGCAGGTCCTACTTCTTAAGGAAAGGAGCAGCCATATGTAAGAGCCAGTTTAAGATCATAAAATTATATTTTCACTCAATCTATGAAAAAAAAATCTAGATATGTTAATTCATATCCAATAGGTAAATGACAAATATATCTAGAAAGGCAAAGAGGCCACTTTCTTTTCTTTAAGAGGCTAGGTAATTAAAAGTAATTTTATTGTACAATTGCATATGGCCTGATAAAAGGAAATTGGACAATTCTGATGATCATTTTTGACGGATTTAGTTCAGCCACTCTGATGGAGAGTCTGTACTTGGCTGACTCCCCTAGGTGGTTCTTGCCTCTCAAGGCTTTCTTCCCTTCCTCTGTGTCTGAGACCACAGACACTGACTTCAGGGTAGAAGCAGGAGGGTTGAGTGTCAGGTAAGACAAAGGGTGTGTAAAGAGTTTTAAAAACTGAATAAGGAAAAGGAACCCAGCTGCACATATGACCATGGGTTATAGGACATCTGTGGACCAAGGTCGTTTTATATAGTTTTATGATGCTATGATTCTGTCATTTAGTTTAACATATTCCAATGTAGATAGTGTAATACAAATGTTTAGTCCTAACCTATGCCTTAGGACCAGTCAGTTTCATACTCCAGGGTGTATGGAACTCAAATCATATACCCTGTTAGTCAAGAACTCATACTCCAGGGTGGTCAGCCAGCATTTAATCAGAAGGCTGCCTTTCAGAGATGCCACTAATGGCTTCAGCTATCTTTATCTTTATTGCCCATCGATTTCTCAAGCTTTGTTAATTAGCATAACAACTTTTATTTATTTATTTATTTATTTTTGAGACAGAGTCTTGCTCTGTAACCCAGGCTGCCGTGCAGTGGCGTGATCTCAGCTCACTGCAGCCTCAACCTCCTGCGTTCAAGGATTCTCAGGCCTCAGCCTCCCAAGTAGCTGGGACTACAGGCGTGCGCCACAGCGCTCAGCTAATTTTTGTATTCTTTTTGTAGAGACAGGGTTTCACCATGTTGCCCAGGCTGGTCTCAAATTCTTAAACTCAGGTGATCTACCCACCTCAGCCTCCTAAAGTGCTGGGATTATAGGCATGAGCCACTGCACCAGGTCCTTGCATAACAAATTTTAGAAATGAGTTTTCACTGTAGAAATTAGTGGCTTGTTAATTTGCATAATGGATATCAGAAACGGTTTACCTGGACACAATTAGTTGTATTCACACTATGTGAATGGATAAATATTTTAGTGATACTCCCCACCCTTGCATAACGGAGTACAGTAAGTCCTCCCTGAACACCATTGATAGGTTCTTAGAAACTGTAACTTTAAACAAAATGATTTATAACAAAACCCAATATTTTTTCTCATCAACATTATAAAGAAAGTACATGGAACAAAATGATGTTATTTATTCAAGAACCTACTATAAAGTCATTTTGCTTAAAGTCACAGCCTACAAGAACCTATCAATGATGTGAAGTGAATGCTTACTGTATAATATCTAGCCAGCCCTTCTTCTAGAGGCAGACACCTTAAACCATCCTCTGCTGGTTCAGGAGGGTCCTTGGTTTCCTGGCTGACAGCCTAACTCAGATGGCCAAATCCTCCTCCTAGAAACATTGCTACAATTGCCTCAAATAAACTTTTCATGCAAAGTGTTTTTCAAACACCAAAAACGACAGCAGGAACTTTATTAACTGCATAGGACTTGAAGTATAGACTGTTTTGTGACAGACTGCTAATTTAACACCCTGTATGTAAATAAGAATCCAGTCTCCAGGCCAGGGAGTTCATGCCTGTAATCCTAGCACTCTGGGAAGCTGAGGCAGATCACCTGAGGTCAGGAGTTTGAGAGCAGCCTAGACAACATAGTGAAACTCCATCTCTACTAATAATACAAAAAAAAATTAGCTGGGCATGGTGGTGCACACCTGTAGTCCCAGGTACTCAAGAGGCTGAGGCAGGAGAATTGCTTGAACCCAGGAGGCAGAAGTTGCAGTGAGCCCAGATTGCACCACTGCACTCCAGCCTGGGTGACAGAGAGGACTCCATCTCAACTAATAATAGTAATAATAATAATAATAATAATAATAATTCAACCTCCCACTATAATGTAGGTATAGTTAACCTTCACTGATATAGAGTGAATGTTTTTGTCCTCCCCAAAATTCCCTAACTACCAATGTGGTGCTATTTGGAGACTGATCCTTTGGGAGGTAATTAGGGTTAGATGAGGTCATGAGGGTGGGGCACTCATGATGGGATTAGTGCCCTTATAAAAAGAAACTAGGACTAGAGAACATGCACTCTCTCTCTTCACGCCTGCACAAAGAAGAGATCATGTAAGCACACAGGAGAATGCAGCTATCTGCAACACAAGAAGAGAGCCCTTATCAAAAACTGACCATGCTGCACCCTAATCTCAAACTTCCAGCCTTTAGAACTGTGGGAAAACAAAGGTCTGTTGTTTAAGCCACCCAGTCTGTGGTACAGTAACTCCCCCCTTATACAAGATTTTGCTTTCCATGGTTTCAGTTACCCACAGTCAACCTGGGAAAATATTAAGATATTTTGAGAAAGAGAGAGACCACATTCACAAAACTTTTATTAGTCAGTGTATTATTATAATTGTTCTATTTTATTAGTTGTTATTGTTGTTAATCTTTTACTATGACTAATTTATAAATTAAGCTTTATCATAGCTATGTACATAAAGAAAAAAACATAGTCTATATAGGATTTGTACTATCGTATTAGGAATTTACTAGGGCTCTTGGAACATATCCCCCATCATCCCAGGGGACTACTGTATTTTGTCTGGCAGCCCAAGCAGACTAATACATTCACCTATGTTCAATCTTCTTCAAACAAACAAAAACTAAAACCATAGTGATCCATAACTAAAATATTTCACTTATTTCCCTTCTTTCAAGTTGTTCAATTTTCTTATTATACAGTTATAGCTAGAGTTAAATATGAAAGAGCCTGAAAGTAGCCCCTTGCCTCCCAATGTCTGCCCTACTCACAAATCCATTCTCCCTTTCTTCTTCAGAAAAAGAACCCTAAATGTGAGATAGGCACATGACCACCCAGAACAATGACTACGTTCCCCAGCTTCCTTTGCAGCTAGGTGTTATCACATGACTTGAGTACTAGCCAATGGATACAAGCACAAGTGGGATATACAACTCTCAGCTTGTGCTCTTAGAGATGGGTGTATCCTTTTTAAAATTCCTTCCTCATAGCCATTTGCTACACACAATGAGTAGAGTTGGAACAGCCATCGTGGACCATAAGAGAAGCACAAACTGAGGAGAGTAAAGCAATACAGATTGAGCTGTTACCAGCCTTGACTGGTTATGTTTAAGTGAGAAATAAACTTCTATCTTACTTAAGCCACTGTTATGTATAAACCACTATTACTTTCAGCTAAATCTATAACTAACTAGAATGATAAATGACATTATTACCAGTGACTCTTTTTAGCTAAAAAAAAAAAAAAGGCCAGGAACAGTAGCTCATGACTGTAATCCCAGCATTTTGGGAGGCTTAGGCAGGAGTTCAAGCCCAGGAGTTTGAGACCAGCCTGAGCAACACAAGGATACCCCATCTCTACAAAAAATTTTAAAATAGCTGGGCATGGTGGCAAGCACTTGTAGTCCCAGCTACTCGGAAGGCTGAGATGGAAGGATCCCTTGAGCCCAGGCAGTCGAGGCTACAATGAACTATGATCATGCACTGCACTTCAGCCTGGGTAAAAGAGTGAGGCATTCTCTTAAAAACAAAACAAAAAAAAGTGATAGTACTTCTGAAAGATCTCTTACCAGGGAAGTTCAGTCAGGCCTCCTTGTATAGCAATAGCAGACTTAACCCTGTTAGCAAACTGGACTGCATCTTCTCCTTCCTGGTTAAAAACAAACAAAAAAAAATTACAAGAACATCTTAGTTTATCGAGTTTTTAATACCGTCTCATAATCATTTGTATTTGTTTTAAAATATAAGATTCATATTTCAGCTCAAATGCTTTCTATTCTTAATCAATCATAGCAAATATCATTTGTTCTATCAAGAAAATGCAGTGCTGTATTGTTTAATTTTTTACCATGTGCATATATTTATCACGCTCTTTATTAGTCTTACCCAAGATAATATCCGTAGGTTCAATAAACCAAGAGCAATTGTAAAACCAACATGGAAAAGAATCTCTAAATATAACATGGTTTGATTTAAAGGGAGCTAAATACATTATTTAAAAAATGACTCATTTGCTGAGCAAGCAGAAAAGCATGGCATGGAGAAGGGAGACACCCAGGTTTTCAGGTGAAGGTCTCCTTGCTTCTACCTGATTAGACAAAGTGTTAGCTAAGGAATACCTCTCTGGTCATTGGGGGCATGTACCACACATCACAGACGATGGCCCAGCTGGTCATCATTCGAAGCAGGTAGCTCACCATGTTGTACTTACTGCTGTTCCAAAATGCATCACCAAACTGAGGGTTATACTGAGAAAAAAGAAAAGAAAAGAAAATATATCCCAGTTATGAACTAAAAGTAGTTTCTCATCCGTGCCCAGCGTTTTAAATGTGGTAGGCCAAACAGCTTTATCAGACTCTAGGAAAAAGAGAAGTTATTTCACTTGATAGAATTTATTAAAAAATAAAAGTCAACCAGGCCAGCTAACACGTCTGACTAGAGCTGACTACTTTTCTAAATAGAACCACAGAGTGCAGCAACAAGAGTTATTTATGTGACTATTAAATATCTGTCTCCTCACTAACTAGAAGGCTGATGAAAACAGGAACAGCAACTGTTTCACTTAACACTACGAGCAAAAACAGCGCCTGGCACAGAGTCACCCAGTATACATCTATCTACAGATAGAGAGTGAGCACATGAGAAAGCAGAGGAGGCAAAGTGCAGAGGACTGGTACATGCAAAAACTGGTGTTCTTCGTTCTTGCAAATGTTAAGTTTAAAATGCTACCAAAATAAAATTACCAATACAATATATTTATAATAATAATTATTATTCTTATTACGTATCTGTTTTACCTTAATTGCAACGGGATGTATGGTTCCTCCGATTTCAAAGCTCCCCTTTTTAAACATCATGACTGAAGTATTGTTGATGCAAGTTCCTGCAAGGGGGTGAGGGTAGGAGCATGAATATTTTTAAAGGGAGTCATTTTAAAAATAAATTTTAAAAGAAATTATTTTGATATAAAATATTTTAAAATATCAAAATTATAGGCATTGTACTACCAAATCATAAACCAAACCCTGTCAAAGTAGTAATCCAATAGTTCTAACTAAGCAAGTTTAACAACAAGCTTTGACTTTTCTACTGAACACTCTATGGGCCTATGGGTACAACTTCCTCTCAACAGGTGATAATTTCAATACATGCAACCCTTAAAGCCATGGACAATTCTGTTCTCAGTTCACTGCCCAGAAATGACTTTTGAATTAAAAAGGTAACATGATTTCTATCAAATCTCAAAAGAAAGCAAGGAATTAATAGCTCAGAGAATGACATCCCATTCCTGTAAGAGCAGAGATCTGGGCTAAGGTTGCCAATTCTATGGCAATTCTATTCCTCAAACATTTTTGCTGGTTTATTGTTATCAACTATAGCTCGGTAGGCAGGCCCATTCTTACCTTCAGGAAAAATTAATATGGGTAATTTCTTCTTATCAGCAATATGTTCTTTTAGTCTATGAAAAAAAAAAAGGATCAAAATTTTGCCTTTTTTAAGAGAGAGGTGGATGTCCTTTTTGATATTCTTTGCACTTTACTGGCACAATTATGAAGCAATAAGGAGAAAAGAATTGAGATATAGGTAAAAGAAATAAATTTGAAGTTGTTTCCTTTCTAAAAAAGTATAAGAAGAGCTGCACTATTGTAATTTCTCAAATTTCAAAGTAAGTGATTTTTTTTTTTTTTTTTTTTGAGATGGGGTCTCACTCTTTCATCCAGGCTGGAGTGCAGGGGCATGATCTCGGCTCACTGCAACCTCTACCCCTTGAGCTTAAGCAATCTGCCCTCTGCCTCCCAAGTAGCTGGGACCACAGATGTGCACCACTACACCCAGCTAAGTTTTTGTATTTTTTGTAGAGATGGCATTTCACCATGTTGCCCAGGCTTGTCTGGAACTCCTGAGCTCACGCAATCCACCTGCCTCAACCTCCCCAAGTGCTGGGATTACACGCATGAGCCAACATGCCTGGACCAAAGTAAGTGATTTTCAGTGTCTTCGCCTGTTCTTAAAAAAGAGTACTAGACATGTGACATGGACTCTGGAGACTCTGTGTCAGGAGCTTTGTGCTCTTTTCCATGTACTTAGGTTTCCTCATCTGAAAAATGGGAATATTGGGTTGCTGGATCTATCTGCATTATGGCCATTAAGTACAAGACAATCCTTAAATGATTCAGGTTGAACTTTCCATGTGTACACCATGAAGCTGAGAAAGACTGACGTTCTTCCAGGCTTAGGTCCTGTCCTCCCTGCAGCCAACACTATATTCCCAACTCTTCTCTCTAGAGCTGGTAAGGGCTGAGGTAGCCAGACTGCAGCTGCCACAGTGTCCCACTGCCAAATGATCTCAAGATAGGGAATTGTTTCTCTAACTTGATGCAGATTCAGCAAATACTTTTCATTATGTTCTTAAGAATATAATGTGTTTATAAAACAATAACCAATGTGCCTTCAGTTAAAGGCCTCAGGCCAAAAGCTGTTTCCTAACAAAGGTTTCTGGTAGCTCAACTCTACCCTAAACCCCAAAGGTTCCTTCTCCCATTCCTCTGTCTCTAGCTGGATCTTTTTTTTTTTTTTTTTTTTTTTTTTTTTTAAGACAAGGTCTCCCCTTGTTGCCCAGGCTGGAGGGCAGTAGTGAGGCTCAGCTCACTGCAGCCTCAACCTCTTGGTCTCAAGTGATCCTTCCTCCCAAGTAGCTGGGACCACAGGCATATGCCACCACATTCGGCTAATTTTATTTATTTTTTTATAGAGATGAGGTCTCACTATGTTGCCCAGGCTGGTCTCGAACTCCTGGGTTCAAGCCATTCTCCCACCATGGCCTCCCAAAGTGCATGGCTTACAGACGTCAGTCACCATGCCCAGCTTCTAGCTGGACTTAAGTGATAACAATCATTCAGAAAACAATCAATCATCTATTTAGCAAGTAGTTATCAATTATTTAACCTTCAAGGTGGTATCTTTTTCCTTTTTCATATATTTTTCCTTGAGGTGAAATATACATATCTAATTTATTTTTTTAATTGCTCATACTCAAGTGAGAACATATCAAATTTAAAGGTGGTAATTTTTATCTTTGAAGATTCAGTGACTGGACTATATCTAAGTCACAGCAATATAAATACATTGGCCTTCTAATCCCATCATATATCCCACCATGACTACAGAATTACATTTTTAAAAAATCTGACTAAGACAATCAGAGAAATGCAAATCAAAACCACAATGAGCCACCATCTCACACCAGTTAGAATGGTGATCATTAAAAAGTCAGGAAACAGGTGCTGGAGAGGATGTGGAGAAATACAAACACTTTTACACTGTTGGTGGGACTGTAAACTAGTTCAACCATTGTGGAAAACAGTGTGGTGATTCCTCAAGGATCTAGAACTAGAAATACCATTTGACCCAGCCATCCCATTACTGGGGTATATACTCAAAGGATTATAAATCATGCTGCTATAAAGACACATGCACACGTATGTTTATTGCGGCACTATTCACAATAGCAAAGACTTGGAACCAACCCAAATGTCCATCAATGATAGACTGGATTAAGAAAATGTGACACATATACACCACGGAATACTATGGAGCCATAAAAAATGATGAGTTCATGTCCTTTGTAGGGACATGGATGAAGCTGGAAACCATCATTCTCAGCAAACTATCGCAAGGACAGAAAACCAAATACCGCATGTTCTCACTCATAGGTAGGAATTGAACAATGAGAACACTTGGACACAGGGTGGGGAATATCACACACCAGGGCCTGTTGGGTGGGGGCTTGGGGAGGGATAGCATTAGGAGATATACCTAATGTAAATGATGAGTTAACAGGTGCAGCACACCAACATGGCACATGTATACCTATGTAACAAACCTGCACATTGTGCACATGTACCCTAGAACTTAAAGTATATAAAAAAAAATGTGGCTAAGACAGGTGATTTGCCAGGAAAATCCAATTGCAAACAGAGTTCTGTTTTAGTTTTGAGACTCAGTGCTGCTCGGCCCTCTTTGGTAGGAAGGCCAAGATTTATCAGCTTTTATGCTACTCCAGTGAACTCTGAGTAATTTCACTGCTTACCTCTTAGTAACCAGATGTCGATCCTTCATTTCTGAGCGTTCAAACCAGACATGAGGACAAGCCTTGACCATAGCTCTCTGAATAATTCCCATCAAGCCGCCATGAACCTGGCCAACCTAGAAGTACCATAAGGAAAAAAAAAATGTAAAAGACACAGTTGTCCAAAAAAAGTTTTTTAAGTACCAACAAATTTCTGTTCTCCACTCAAAGACAAGATTGGCCTTCTATGGACTGAAGTTCTTAGTCTGATCAAAGAGTCTGAAAGGTCAAATGTAAGCAAAAAGGTATTCTTTAGTAGCACCTTTGAATTTTAAGTTATGTTCTTGTGCTAGCAATCCTCTAACTTCAAAAAGTAGAGGGTTTTCAACTTGGTCAAGATTAGAGAAATGCAAATTAAAACTACACTGAAATACCATTTCAAACCCATCACACTGACAAAGATTTAAAAGCTTGACAATACATTCTGACATAAAGCTATGGATAACTTTCATACATTGCCTGGGAGAAGGCAGCAGATTACAACACAAATGGAAGAAAATTTGGCAACATCTACAAAATTGCATATACATTCATCTTTCATTTCAATAATTCCTCTCCTAGAAATTTATCCTGAAGATAAACTTCCAACAAAATGAAAATATATATGCACAAGGCTATTAACTACAGCATTACTTATTATGGCAAAATATTAGAAACTACCTAAATGTCCAAATATAAGAAATTAGATAAATAGACAATGGTACATACAAATAATGGAGTACTATGCAGCTGGGAACACAGCAAGGTTGATCTCTATGACTGATAAAGAGTAACTTCCAGGAGATATTGTTAAATGAAAAAGACAAAAGAACAAATGCAGTATGCTACCTTTTGTGTAAGACTAAAGGGGAAATAATACACATACATGTGTTTATCTCTACAAAAAGAAATACCAAAGTCAATGAACCTACAAGAGTAGGAAGGAATGGGATGGAATGAACATGGAAGGTAACAGCACTTCAATAAGTATACCTTTTCTGCTTTGTTTTGACATTCGGAAACGTATTGATACCCTACATACTCAAAAAATAAATAAAAGTAAATCAGTAAGGAACAAATGACAAACTAAAGCAAACTGAAGCAAATGAACCCAATTGTATTTTAAGTGAATAAAAGAATAGCATTAAAAGAAGGGGGAAACATCCAAGAAACTTACACAGACAGTGTCTAACCACATACCCTCCATCTTGGATGCAAAACATTCTGAATTCTTTTCACTAGATTTTTGTCTGTAATAGTGAAGCAATTCTGAAATAATTTTAGATGTATTATAGAATTGAGAAAATTAGTAAACATATTGATATTTTTGGGAAACAGGATTTTCACTATGAAAAAGCGAGATACAAATATGAATTGAAGGAAAGCAAGAAAGAACCTTAAGAGTTGGATGTATTCAGATTTCCAATGTAAATATTAGAAATAAATAGTAAATATAGGCCAGATGTGGTGGCTCATACCTGTATTCCCAGCACTTTGGGAGGCTGAGGTAGGCGGATTACTTGAGGTCAGGAGTTCAAGGCCAGCCTGGCCAACATGGTGAAACTCCATCTCTACTAAAAACTACAAAAATTAGCCGTATGTGGTGGTGGGCGCCTGTAATCCCAGCTACTTGGGAGGCTGAGGCAGGAGAATCACTTGAACCTGGGAGGCGGAGGTTGCAGTGAGCCGAGATCACACCACTGCACTCTAGCCTGGATGACACAGCAAGACTATGTCTCAAAAAAAAAAAAAAAAAAAAAAAAGCACAGTGGTTCACACCTGTAATCCCGGCACTTTGAGAGGCCAAGGTGGGCAGATCACCTGAAGTCAGGAGTTTGAGACCAGCCTGGCCCACATGGTGAAACCCTGTCTCTACTAAAAATACAAAAATTAACTGGGTGTGGTGGTGGGTACCTGTAATCCCAGCTACTAGGGAGGCTAAGGCAGGAGAATCACTTGAACCTGGGAGACGGAGGTCGCAGTGAGCCAAGATCACATCACTGCACTCCAGCCTGGGCAACAGAGTGAGGTGCTGTCTCAAAAAAAAAGAAATTTTAAAAATAAATATATTAAAAATACAAACATTTTACCCACATTTTTATAGGGAGAGATAGAACAAGACAGCTTTTCCCAGTACCTGAGAAAGCAAATGACAAAGCAAATGAGGCACAATGTTGCCAATAGGTAAAAGTGGATAAAGGGCGTAAGGGTGCTCTACTGTGATTTTCTTATTATTACAACTTTTCTGTAAGCTTGAAAATATTTCTAAATTTAGAAAAGTAGAGGTCTTTGTCTAGAAGGAAAAAAAAGACTAGAAAAGTCACTGAGTGAGGTAATCGATATGTTAATTAGCTTGATTTAGCCATTCTACAATATATACATCTATCAAAACATCTGTTGTATACTATAAATATATATAATTTTTATTTGTCAACTAAACAATAGATTTCTTTTAATAAAAGGAGAGTCACTGAGAAGAGATCTTTGATGTTCAGATACAGAGTTTATATTTAGTCAAAAGAGGCCAATTATGATGTCTGGAGGCTAATGGCACCATATCATCCCACATCTGCCTTGCGCCACCTCCAATTTAAATTCAGTCAGCTTTAGTTTTCTACACTCAACCCATTGGACAGTTTGCAGTTACTATGCTTTTCTAAATTTTGACTAATATATTGCAATTGCAGTTATACTCAATCCAAAAATAAGAAAAATGGCAACAAAGTTCTGAGGTCCTTGGTCACAAATGGGTTATACTCAACTCTTTGTTGACCAGAATACAGGAGGAATATGATTTCTGAAACACAAAACCATGACCAAGGAGTGTTATGGTTTGCAACAGTTTTGGGAGGTGGGGCATAACGGGAGATACTGAGGCCATGAGGGTGCTCTCCTCATGAATGGATTAATGCCCTTACAAAATGGCTCTGGGAGTGGGTTTGCTTTCTTGGGCTTTTGGCCCTTCTGCCTTATACCATGTGATGACTCAGCAAGAAGACCATGGCCAGATGCTGGCACCCTGATATTGGACTTCCCAGCCTCCAGAACTGTCAGCCAGTAAGTTTCTGTTCATTATAAGTTACAGTCTGTGGTATTCTGTTATAGCAGCACAAAATCAACTTTGACATTCAGATTGGTTGCCTAAGCCTCTGCTTCCTCATCTATAATAAAACTTCAGACCTAACCTGATTGGATTACAGGGAGGGTCAAATATACGCATGAAAGTGTTTGTCCACATAAATACAAGGATTATTACATACACTGAGAATTGTGCTGGGGGGTCTATCAAGGCTGTTAACATGAGGATCCTTGGACGGTCTTTAGGGAGACCCATAAACATCTTGAAATTATACATAAAACTGTGTTTGTATGATGCAGATACATGTTAGTTTTTTCTTTAAAAAGGTACATAATTATCAACTAATTCCTAACCTAAGAAAAGATTAAGAATTACCAATTCCCATAAGTCTTTTCATAAAGGTGGCTAACGCTTCCTTGGATTCAGAAAGAGCTCAGTATTTAGAGAAATTTAATAATGTGTTAAAATGTAGTGTTCGAGAGTTATGTATCTGACCATGTATTTTAGACAGATTAAACACATGGCAATAAGTAGAAATTTTTGCAAAGGCCTTCAAAATTCCCTTAATGATTGTGTAACCCATGCAGAGTCAAATACCTGCACACGTGCCAATACTCTCCACCCTCCTACTTGCAGCGACATTTAATCAAGAATGGCTCCCTTCAAATGCCTTCTCAGAAAAACACACCAGACCATGATTATCAATCCCTGGAACTGGTAAGTGAAATAAAATCCATCTACTCTCCCTGAAGCCCAACCCACCACCATGAAAATATGAGAAGGTAATCCTCTAGGACCCTTGTCCAGGCAAACACCAACTGAAGGCACATTTAACCACCATGCAGCTTCAATTATCCTGCAGAATTTACCTGACACAGAAAGGAGATGCAGGAAATCTTGACAAATTTGTAAGGGCAACAGAAAACACAGATTTGAAAAAAAAAATGCCAGAATATGATTCCTGTATTCAGCCCCATGAAAGGCTGTTTTGAGGTATACAGTTTTACTGTGGGCTTTGTAGTTTGTTCTTGGGTTTTGTTTCGTTTTCTTTTCTTTTGGGGCTACGGGCAAGGACTGAGAAAGGCAACCTGATATAAATATTTGCCTTTCTTGCTAGATCCTTGTTAAAAAGCCAGATTTCTTTTAATTGCATATAAGTCCCTGAAGGAAGAAAGAGCTAATTGGGTGGCTGGGGGATATGTACAACTGTAAAAAGAAAGAATTTAATGTTGCAAACATTATTAAACACTGGCAGGGATTTTACAAGGAAAATGGAATCAACTTTACAAGGTACTATCAAGCTCAAGAATGTCTGCATTTCAGTAAGTTAAATTTTTACCATCTTAAATATAATGGCTACTTTCCTTCCTTTTCTTGCACTACATATTCCTCATGTAAATATATTACATATAACTTATATAGCTACAATAGTATAACGCAGCCAAATTTCTAACATAAAACCAACTTGCTAATTTGTGCCAAAATAAAAAGTTTGATCAATCCATAAAACATGCAACTACTTGAAATATCAATGAGCTGCTCTTACCATAGCATAACATCCATCCGTTGTCAAGATTAAAACATCAATTGGGGAAGTATGGTTGGCAACACAAATGCCTCCCTTCTGGGGTCTGTATTGCCTGCAATTACAAACAACGGAAAATTCAAAGTCTTCTAAAATAGCCACAGCATGTAAATAGTCACCTTATTTTTTTAAGTGTGTGTTTGTGTGTGTGTGTGTGTGTGTGTGTGTGTGTGTATATTTTGAGATGGAGTCTCACTCTGTGGCCCAGGCTGGAGTGCAGTGGTACAATCCTGGCTCACTGCAACCTCTGCCTCCAGGGGTTCAAGCAATTCTCCTGCCTCAGCCTCCCAAGTAGTTGGAATTAAGGGTATGTGCCATCAGGCCTGGCTAATTTTTATATTTTTAGCAGAGATAGGGTTTCGCCATGTGGGCCAGGCTTGTCTCGAGCTCTTGACCTCAAGTGATCTGCCCCACTCGGCCTCCCAAAGTGCTGGGATCACAGGCATGAGCACAGTGCCTGGTCTTTTTTAAGCATATTTTTAAAAATTAAGTTTGGAGGTAGATGGGCCCATCTTTAAAAGGTGATCTCTAGGCAGTATGATGAGAGTGTGGTAGGGGGCCCATGATTTTAACATTGATAATACATAGCTTTCACTTATTTAATCTGAAGCATTTTCATATTATTTTTATCTTCATATACATCACTTTTAGTGGTTTCATGGTAATCCATGCAGAAAAGTCACCGTAGTTTCCTCCCTCCTATCCTTCTATAGCAGAGGTTGGCAAACTTTTCTTATCAAGGGCCAGACAGTAAATACTTTAAGCTTTGCAAGCCAGACAATGCCTGTCACAATTACTTGACTCTGCTGTTGTGACACAAAAGCAGCCATGGCTGTGAATGACCACGGCTGTGTGCCAATAAAACGTTATTTACAGAAAACAGATGGTGGGCCAGATTTGGCCTATAGGCTTCCCGTTCAGTTTGTGGATCTCTACCCTAGAGTGAAACCAGCCTTTGACACCAATAAAGCAAAGTAGTTTTGTTTGGGCCTATACAGAGAAGAAAGAGAACCAAATACACAATTATTTAGCACATTTTCTTTAAAATTAGAAGTAATTCTATAAGAAGTTAGGAACTCCTCTTTATGTAATAAGTGTGCCTTTTCTACAGGTGTTTCTTCTGACTGCACCTCTGCCAGAGTGTTTTCTTTAACTCTTCACTTTAAAACTCATAGTCCAATTGCAAGATCATATAATTTAAAATGTTTAAAGGGTCTTTTATGTTGGTACCACACGGTAAAGCCAAATGGCAAAATGTTTCTCTTCTACAAATGAGAAAGAAAGACCAAATCAGTAAAAAAGAGATGCTTGGCCTAGAACTTTTAAAACAATGATGCTAAATCTAAAAAAATTGAGATAACAGAAAAGTAGTTCAAATGCAATCAAAATCCCTTTCACTTAGCTAATTATTTTCCTTTGCTACCTTCATTCTCTACAATTCTGGGAGAGAAAAGCAGAATTTTGTTTTAAGGCTCAATTATGGAATTTTAGAAGTAGCAGGACTAAGACTAGAGACCACATTTCCAGACTCCACGTCTAGTCCTATTTCCACCACACTACAGACCTGTCAACTTCATTGTTTTTAGAATCAGACAGACCTTGTTCAAAACCTGATTCCATTGCTTATTCACTGTAACCCTAAACAACAAATCCCAAAGCTTACATTTCTTCTCCTTTAAAATGGGTTAACAGTGCCTATCTCATAGGGATGAACTATAAGAAACATAGGGTCTGGCCTGCACACCATAAATGCCCAATTATTGAGCACAACTACATATTTATTATTATATTCTTTCTGCAAACACTGCTATTTAGTGTTTTTGTGCATTATGCCTGTGCCACCCTGAGAAGTAGAGATGAACACACTGGAAGCACTCTGACTCCACCCACTTCTTACCACCCACTTCCAGTGCTTCCTTGTCAATCTCATGCTGAATTGACCTAGAAAAAGACAGGCACGTTGGCAGCAGATACTCACTTGTTATGATAATGAATGGTACCAGAGAGGGATCGCACACAGATCCGGCAGCAAGTCAGATGGACCAGTTCACTCAGCCAGTTTTTGAGGCTGAAGGAAATAGAAACATTTTATTGTGCCATTCTGGGCACTCTTAAGAAACAGTATAATGAAAGTTTTAATGTGCTTTTTCACAACAGCATACTGCATTCTATTCTGGTGAACCAGTACAGTTCAATTCTTATAGTCTCATTGGTGCATTTAGTATTAGATCATAAAAGTCTACCAAAAGAACTGGACATAACTCTGATGAAAAGTAGCTCAAAACCACTAGGCTATTATGACAAATTCCTGAACAAGATAAACTGAAGCTTCTTTCGTCTTGGTCTTATGAGCTTGCCAATATATAAGACTCTCTTAGGTAACTCAGTTCATTTTCTTTCTTCAATTCTCCTTCGAAAAAACAACTTCTTTCGATTAATATGGAAGTATGATAAAAAATCAAAGAAAGACTATGAAGATGAAGTAAGTGAGCAGGATTCTAATAAATGAGTAGAGAAATTTAACGCAATACAGCCAGGCGCAGTGGCTCACACCTGTAATCCCAGCACTTTGGGAGGCCAAGGCAGGCAAATCACAAGGTCAGGAGTTCAAGATCCCCTTGGCCAACATGGTGAAACCCTGTATCTACTAAAAATACAAAAAATTAGCTGGGCATGGTGGTGGGTGACTGTAATCCCAGCTACTCAGGAGGCTGAGGCAGGAGAATCTCTTGAACCTGGGAGGTGGAGGTTGCAGTGAGCCGAGATCGTACCACTGCACTCCAGCCCGGGCGACAGTGCAAGACTCCGTCTCAAAAATAATAATAATAATAATGATGCAATACATAGGAATCAAACAAATATTCTCTTTGTGGACACAGCTAAGAGTAAAAACAATCCTATGTATGGCTGGATGGAAGGAAACATTTCACCTGCTGTCTGGCAGCTGCCCAACCAGTGTAGTTCCTATAACCAGCAAACTGATCCCAATGAAAGCCAAGGTAACCCTGAAAAAGAAAAGAAAGGGTCATATAAGATTTTGACACATAGTAGGGAAGTAACCAAAAAGCTCATAAATAACAAAATTGTAAATAAGTTGTAGAGTATCCACATGATGAAATATGATGCAGCCACTAAAATAACTGGGTAAATCTACATAGATCTAACACGGAAGAATGTTCCACGATGCATTTTGAGAGACAAAAAGCAAAGTAAGTTTCAGAATAAAGTACAGAATATGATGCCATCTGCAAAATAACAACAGGCACATGTGTAACAAGTCTGTACCTGCATAGAGAAGGCCTGGAAATTTTCATAAAACTATCAAGTTAAATCTATATAATCATCAAAGGGTTAAGAGGGCTAGTGAAGGGAATACATTTAAAGGTGCTTTAATAATAAGAACACCAAAATATATCACCGTGTAGACATCTTTTAATGCAAATCTAACTGTTGTCCCTTTGCATGGTTCAAGATAACTCAGAAGTTAGCAAACAAGGTGACTGATAGCACCTCTAACCTCCATAGAGACATTGCCTTCTTTTTGAAAAGTGCTTTTAATATACATTCCAATGACTTCAAAAGGAAAGTAGTAATTTCTAGAAATGTAAATAGAATTATTCAAAAAGGAAAGACTTAAAATCTTTCAAAATAAATAGGATTTAGTTAAAAGAGGAAAAATCAATAGTTGAATCACATTTTACTAATAAGATTCTTTAAATCATCTTTGTCAAATGAAGAAAGCAGAAACTTTAGATTATCTCATTGCTCTCTCAAATCAAACCAGAGGCCTATCTATGTCTTCCTGTTCCCAGAAGAGCATACACATTTTGCTGAATGCGTGAGGTATTCAGTAAGAAGACTGAAGGGGACCATCACTGCAGTATCAGAAGGACCCTGTGTGTTTGGGGAAGCTACAATGGCTGCCTACGGTCAAGGGTCAGGAATAGTAACCCTCTCCAGGGTGAAGCTCATTTACTGCTTTACCTCCTGATCAGATAGTTGGAGCATAAAATTGTTTGTCTTAACCAATTCCAGGTTTTACATTAGATGATGATAAAGCAACAGCTAACACTGTATGCCAGGCAATATTCTAAGCACCTTTTGTATCTAACACATTTAATCATCCCCAAGACTCTATGAGGCAATAATATTATCATTATCCCCATTCTACAGATGAAAAAATTGGAGCATAGAAAGGCTAAATAACTTACCCAAAGGTACACAGACAATAAGCAGCAGAGCCAGGACTTGAACCCAGGGAGTCTGGCTCCAGAATTCATTTTCATAAGCATGATGTTATTCTGTCTTTCAGGAGATTATTATTATTTAACATAGCAGTTTAACATTATTTAAAACGAAATAAGCAGTGTCTCATGGCTATAATCCCAGCAGTTTGGGAGGCCCGGGCGAGCGGATCACTTAAGGTGAGGAGTTGGAGACCAGCCTGGCCAATATGGTGAACGCTGTCTCTATTAAAAACACAAAAATTAGGCAGGCATAGTGGCACATCCCTGTAACGAGAATCGCTTGAACCCAGGAGGCACGGGTTGCAGTGAGCCAAGATCGTGCCACTGCACTTCAGCCTGGGCAACAAAGCGAGACTGTCTCAAAAAAGAAAAGGAAAAAAAAAAAAAAAAAGAAACGGCGTAAAAAGCAGTGGTCTCAACCCAGTTGGAGACACACTCCATCAATAACATATCTGAACAGGTATCCCAATATGTTTAAGAATAATGTGCATATGCTGTACTGATATAATGTACATTATAAAACATCTGGAAACATAAAGAATGTAAAAAAAATAAGTATTTTTATGAAAAAATACAGTATTTTGAAATTATATTAATGTTGCAATTTGTCCTCACTCAAAATAGGATAATATAGTAATACATTAATAAATACATATTATTAATTTTATTATAATTATCAATTGTATGTAATGATAATGTTATCAATTGTATAATTATAATTTAATAGCATGATATATTACTATAGCTAATAAGTATAATTAATACTATTACTATTCTGAGCGAGAAGAAAGCTTTTTGAATATGCTTTCCTATAAATACCTTGTTAAATAAGGTGTTAAATCTTGTTAAAGATTTGACATAGCAATTTGAAGGTCAGGTTCTTTTTTCTTGTCAGTTACTGATGCAATAACTAAATTATTGTTTAATCTCATCATCAATTATGCAAAACTTTTAAAATAATGTTTTGCCATCTTGCCCCAAGGAGAATCACTTGTTCCTGTCCATTAAATCAGAAGGACTTTCATTTTAACATGTTTAACAATTGGGTTCAAAACTACTGAAACTTTTTACCTGCTAGATTAACAGGCCAGAACATTATGTATCCCAGTTTAAGTGAGCCAATGTTAGAGTTCTCATAGATGATATAAGTTTTCAGCCACAGTCTGCATTTTAGGAGCTTTATTGAGATACAATTCATGTGCCATACAATTCACCCCATAAAAATATGCAATTCAGTTCAGGCACCGTGGCTCACGTCTATAATGAGATCCCCCTGGCACTTAGGGAGGCCAAGGCAGGTAGATCACTTCAGGTCAGGAGTTTGAGATCAGCCTGGCTGACATGGCGAAACCCCATCTCTATTAAAAATACAGAAATTAGCCAGGCCCGGAGGCACATGCCTGTAATTCCAGCTACTGGAGGGGCTGAGGCGTAAGAACCGCTTGAACTCAGGGGGCAGAGGTTGCAGTGACCCAAGATAGCGCCGTATGCAATTCAATAGTTTTTGGTGTATTCACAGAGTTGTGCAACCATCACCACAGTCTATCTTAATACAATCTGGTTTTTGAAAAGCTCATTTTGTACTAGGTGTTTCTTTTAAAAAGCATTTACAAAGCAATTCTTCCACACTGAAAAGTATCTACTAAGAGTAGGAGTGTTAACTCTGCGTTTTCTTTTTGTTCTCAGATGCTTGTATCACTGCACTTGATCTTAGCCCAAAGGCCAAGAAGTGATAAATGTTTACATTGCTTTATTATCTTAAATCAGTTTCTTTGCAAAAATATTTTAAGTCACTTATCTACTTTGTGAGCATTTGTTTAGTAGATAAGGGAATCACAACAGCATTTTCTGGGCCCCCACAGGACGGTGAAAGCTAACCAATAACAAACAAGGGCATCTCAAGCACTGTGCTGTAGAATTCCTCATTCTTCCTTCAGGTTACCTTGGATATGAACCAATCCATATATTGAACTTGACTAAAGCTTCGTGTATTTTTTTGTTTTTGTTTTTGAAATGGAGCCTCACCTCACTCTGTCACCCAGGCTGGAATACAGTGTCTCACTGCAACCTCCGCCTCACGGGTTCAAGTGATTTCTCCTGCCTCAGCCTCCCAAGTAGCTGGGACTACAGGCACATGCTACCACACCTGGCTAATTTTTGTATTTTTAGTAAAGATGGAGTTTCACCATGTTGGCCAGGTTGATACAGAACTCCTGACCTCAACTGATCTACCCACCTCGGCCCCCCAAAGGGCTGGGATTACAGGCATGAGCCACTATGCCTGGCCAAACTTCTTTTTCTTTTTGAGACAAGAGTCTCACTCTGTCACCCAGGCTGGAGTGTAGTGACGTGATCTTGGATCACTGCAACCTCTGACTCCTGGGTTCAAGGAATTCTCTGCCTCAGCCTCCCACACAGCTGGGACTACAGGTGCGTACCACCACACCTGGCTAATTTTTGTATTTTTGGTAGAGATGGGGTTTTGCCATGTTGGCCAGGCCAGTCGAACTCCTGGCCTCAAGTGATCCACCCACCTTGACCTCCCAAAGTGCTAGGATTACAGGTGTGAGCCACTATGCCCCTAGCCTTTTTCTTTTTAAGAATGAAAACAGAATAAATGGAAGTGCTAGTTATAAAGAGAACAGAAGCTTTTTTCTTTTCTTTCTTTTTTTTATTTTTTGACACGGATTCTCGCTCTGTTGCCAGGCTAGAGTGTGGTGGCGTGATCACAGGTCACTGCAACCTCTGTCTCCCAGGTTCAAGAGATTCTCCTGCCTCAGCCTCCCGAGTAGCTGGGACTACAGGTGTGCGCCACCACACCCAGCTAATTTTTGTATTTTTCGCAGAGACAAGGTTTCACCATGTTGGCCAAGATGGTCTCGATCTCTTAATCTCGTGATCCGCCTGCCTCGGCCTCCCAAAATGCTGGGATTACAGGTGTGAGCCATTGCGTCCAGCCAGAACAGAAGCTTTTAATAAATAAGAGCTCTAATATTTCCTTCCTGCATGCCAATGGATAGTCTTGTACACTCCCAGAGTACATGAACCCCACTTTGGGGGCACTAGTTTAAGGTTCAGGCAAAAGTGTACGTGAAACCTTGAATTTTGCTTCACTATCACAGCTGAAATGATTCCCAAAAGACATACTATGCCCCAATGTCTGAACTAGCAATATGGGCAAAAAAAAAAAAAAAAAGAAAGAAAGAATTTCTTAGAAATCTACATTTGCCTGTAGTTAAGCAATACTTTCTCTGGTAATAAATCTGAATGAGGCAAGCAGAGGCCACCCTGGGGGTAGTAAAAAGATTTCAACTCATGTGCCAAGTTTAGTTGGCAGGTAGCCACTGCCTGGAAAGCTCTGCTGAGAGGATGCCAAGCCCATGTCCAGGGAAATGAAGCAAGATGATCAACAATAATGTTGTGGCTGGTATACATGCCTACTACTGCTACCACCATGCTAATCAGATCTCGGCCACTTACAGCTTCATCCCACCACGCAGTGCCTTCTACTCACGTTCCACATCGTGCTTTCCATAAACTAGGCTTGACACTGCCTTCTCAGCAGGTGGCACTCAAGCTCAGAAGCAGAAGCTGACCCAGGTGATCACAATGAATTAGATGGAACTCACACTTCTAAATGGCTGTCTCCCACGTGTAACCACACTCAATTATGAAGTGCAATGGACTGGCAAAGAAAGGCAGTGGGTTCTGGTCAGCTCTTACAGTTTGGTTGATGCTCTAGTGAACATGAAACTGTTAATGATCTCTTCTTCTTTCTTCTTTCTTCTTTCTTCTTCTTTCTTTCTTCTTCTTCTTCTTCTTCTTCTTCTTCTTCTTCTTCTTCTTCTTCTTCTTCTTCTTCTTCTTCTTCTTCTTCTTCTTCCTTCTTCTTCTTCTTCCTCCTTCTTCTTCTTCTTCCTCTTCTTCTTCCTTCCTTCTTCTTTCCTCCTCCTTCTTCTTCTTCTTCTTCTTCTTCCTCTCTTCTTCTTCTCCTCTCCTTCCTCCTCCTTCTCCTTCTCCTCCTTCTCTCTCCTTCTCCTCCTCTCCTCCTCCTCCTTCTCCTCCTCTTCTTCTTCTCTTCTTCTTCTTCTTCTTCTTCTTCTCCTTCTCCTCCTTCTCCTTCTTCTCCTTCTCCTTCCTCTTCCTCTTCTTCTTCTTCCTCTTCTTCTTCCTCTTCCTCTTCTTTTTCTTCTTCTTCTTTCTTCTTCTTCTTCTTCTTCTTTCTTCTTTCTTCTTCTTCCCTTTTCTCTCCATCCTCAAGTTAGCTCAGACTCTAATAGCAAAGTGGATCCAGATTCTAAGATACACGTTGGATTCTGAATATACAACTTCATTTGGGGAAAAATTGTGAAAGGAAAATGGAGACTTAATACATTCCTGCAGAGGTCATGTTTGGTAGCATTTCCTACGTAGAAATGGGTGGAATAAGCACCACAGAACACTTATATGGCCACTATGTACATGATTCAAAAAGAAAGCTGAGTCAAGCATATCATCAAATTACCAGGCACGTGACTTACCTCAGAGGCAGTAGGACGCAATAGCGCACTATGACGCCCAGCACCCACACCATAGTGAGCCGCAGACTGATGTACTGGAAATTTACATTGGTTCTTGTGAGGAGATTCCATGACACTAGCTCCTCTGAGGAAAACCTCTGGGTCACTTCATCTTCCACAATGGCTTCCAATCCCTTCTTGGAGAAATAAAACACGTCAGACAGCTCAAAGTCCCTTCCTCGTAGACCAGAGAGCCCTTTTTCCATGGGTGACTCATCTCTTTGGATAATACCTTAAAAGAAAGCATCAGGACATAAGAAAATGCCATAGGACAGAAGAATTGACCAAAGGGGCAACTTTAACTGTGTAGAAGTTAAATATGCAAAACAAGTAAATAAGTTTAATGGGTGACATCAGCCATCTTTAGAAGTAAGAGACAAACAATTGCAATGGGAAAAGAGGTGAAATCACTGTGTCTGCATGAAATGGTCTCTACCCCATGATCTTTGTTAATTATAAACAGGAGTTTTGGTCCTCCATAATCCTCTTGCTTGGATTTCTTCCCTGTGTACCATTAGCCAAAGAACTCATGCACACAAAAATAATCCTCCCCAAGTATAGCTCTAGGTTGTGTAAAAACAAAGACTTCTGTTCTCCCTGACAAAAACCATAAAATCAAAAAGCAAGCAAAATGGCAAAAGATTTACTGTAAATGGCAAAAAGTTGATTTTTTTTTTTTTTTTTTTTTGAGATGGAGTCTTGCTCTGTCGCCCAGGCTGGAGTGCAGTGGCACGATCCCGGCTCACTGCAAGCTCTGCCTCCCGGGTTCACGCCATTCTCCTGCCTCAGCCACCCGAGCAGCTTGGACTACAGGCGTCCGCCAAGGCACCCGGCTAATTTTTGTATTTTTCATAGAGACAGGGTTTCACCGTGTTAGCCAGGATGGTCTCGATCTCCTGACCTCGTGATCTGCCTGCCTCGGTCTCCCAAAGTGCTGGGATTACAGTGAGCCACCGCACCCAGCCGATTTTTTAATATATGAAAATTATTTAATAAGAAAAACACAGCCTTCTGCATAAAGGTAAGCAAAGTTCACAGAAACAAAATAAATATTAATAGTTAATATCACAAAACTTTTCACTAGTGAAAAAAGAAATGTGAATTAGACAAAGGCCTATTTACAGTAGCAAATCAGCAGCATTTTACTCAATGATAAGATTCAATGACTTGAAAGACACAGGTACTCTCATATTCAACTTGTACAAGTATGGAAGTAGTAGCAACTTGGTCAAAGTTGGTTTGGCATGAAAAGACTGAAGATAATTTTGCTGATGATCAGTAACTCCAATTCTGGGAATCTGTCATCAGAAAATAATTAGAAATGTAGGCAAATGTAGGCAAGGGTGTTCACTGTAGAATTCTTCATTAGAATTAATCCACACAATGATATAAAATGCGTCCATTACTAAATACTATAATGTTAATCAAGAAAAGACAGAATCTAAAACTATAGCTTCACTCTATGAACTACTATACATAGAAAAAATGTCAAAATGAAAACATTAAGTAGTTATTTCTAGAAAATAGGATTAGATTTTCCTCTCTATACTGTTATTGTATTTTCCATCAAGAAAATAATCCAATGATTTTTAAAGCAGCATAAATTTTTATGAATTGAAAAATGACTACTGTCATTCAGTTCTAACTACTAAGTACAAAAAATGAGAACGTCTTCAAAGAATAAAGAGTAACTACATACACAGTCATATGATCATTCATTGCTTCCTTTGGGGTGTATCACAAAAGGTTACTTCTGACATTAGACTACAAAGAAAAATATTTTCTTTTGAGATAGTGATTAAAATGTTAAATTCCCTGAAAGAAGATCTTTTTTGATCACCTCATTTTCCAGTTTACTAGGAAATCAATGAGGAAAACGGACAGTGCTGTATTACCTATCCCCAGGAAGAGTTATATGTGTATCAGTAGAAAGAGCTGTAATAGTCCAGTTTTTGGAAGGACTAATACTAGAGGAGAAAGGAAAGAGGACCTGGAGTCAAAAGCCAAGTCCTGTTTAGGACAACCTCCAGCTCCATGACTGATGTCTTTTATAAACTGAGAGAATGGAAACAATTTTAGTTTTCTTACAGGGTTAATGTTTTACGATTTTAGGTTTGGGATATATGGGTATTTTGGAGTTTGTTTTTGTCCCACATGCAAAGTTTATACCTAGTCACCTTAAGAATTAGAGCAATAGGGGCTGGGCATGGGGGGTCATGCCTGTAATCCCAACACTTTGGGAGGTCAAGGCGAGCGGATCACTTGAGCCCAGGAGTGTGAGACCAACCTGGGCAACATGGTGAAACTTGTCTTCACAAAAAAATACCAATATTAGCTGGGCATGGTGGCATGTGCCTGTAGTCCCAGCTACTTGGGAGGCTGAGGCAGGGTGATAACCTAAGCCCGGGAGATGGAGGCTGCAGTGAGCCGTGATCATGCCACTGTACTCCAGCCTGGGTGACAAAATGAGATGGAAAGGGAAGGGAAGTGGAGGGGAGGGGAGGAGAGGGGAGGGAGGGAGGGGAGGGGAGGGAAGGGAAATGAAGGGAAGGGAAAGGAAGGGAAGGGAAGGGAAGGGAAAGGAAGGAAAGAGAAAGGGAGAAAAGAGGGAGAGAAGGAAGGAAGGAAGGAGAGAGAGAGAAAGAAAAAAAGAAAGAAAGAAAGAAAGAAAAAAAGAAGAAAGAAAAGGAAAAGAAAGAAAAAAGAAAAAGATAAGAGAAAAAAAGAAAGAAAATAGAAAGGAAGGGAGGGAGGGAGGGAAAGAAAGAAAGAAAGAAAGGAAGGGAGGGAAGGAGGGAAGGAAGGAAGGAAAAAGAAAGAAAGAGAGAGAGGGAGGGAGGGAAGGAGGGAAGGAAGGAAGGAAAAGAAAGAAAGAAAGAGAAAGAGAGAGAGGGAGGGAAGGAAGTAGGGAAGGAAGGAAGGAAAAGAAAGAAAGAAAGAGAGAGAGGGAAGGCGGGAAGGAAGCAAGGAAAAGAAAAGAAAAGAAAGAAAGAAAGAAAAAGAAAGAGAAAGAAAGAAAGAAAGAAAGAAAAAAGAAAGAAAGAGAGAGAAAGGAAGGAAGGAAGGAAGGAAGGAGAGGAGGGAGGAGAAGGGAGGGAAAGAAGGAAGGGAAGGAAGGAAAAAATTAAGTTCTTGAATGATTACTAGGTTCTCTTTCAGAAGTCAAGTCTAAGTGGTTTAATCTTTTTTCACCATCTCCAAAAGAAGTTTAATTAGTATTAGAGGATGAACCACGATACCGTGCCTACTGAATTACCCTCTTGCTCTACAGGCACTGCAATACCACTCAAAGCCCGTTACTCAATCCAAGTACTGGCCAGTATTTAGCAGTGCAAGAGTTTCGTTACAGCAAGAGGGAAGAATACATTCTTCAGCAAATTTCTGAATGAAATACACTGGGGACAGATAGCCTTCCTAAAAATAACCTTTTTCAGAGGGGCCAGAGATAAGAATGCAAGTTCAAGTTGCCCCATATTATTAGACTGAGCCAAGAGAGAAGAGATCTGCAAACAATGCCAGCCCTCCAGCCCCTACACACTTGTTGTGCAATGTTTTCCCTGCCTTCTTACCTAGTGTATTCTGTGTAACTTAAATAAAATATAACTCAATTTTATATTTTAGTTAAGCATCTTTCAAAAGTATGTAGGTAACTGCAATGTATCTAGTTGACAAAGGATTAATTTCCAGAATATATTAATACATAAATTAATTTAAAAGTGTCAAAGAACTCTGTTTTAAAAATGGCTAAGAATATAGCAAGCAATTCATAAAAGAGTAGCCTTACTGATGAAACATTTGAAAATATGTTCTGCTTCACTATAATCAAAGAAATGCAAACTAAAACCACAGTGAGACCAGGCATGGTGGCTCGCACCTGTAATTCCAGCACTTTGGGAGGCTGAGGTGGGAAGATCACTTGAGGTCAGGAGTTTGAGACCAGCCTAGCCAACATGGTGAAAATCCGTTTCTACTAAAAATACAAAAAATTAGCCAGGCGTGGTGGCACACGCCTGTAATCCCAGCTACTGGGGAGGTTGAGGCAGTAGAATCACTTGAACCCAGGAGGCGGGGGTTGCAGTGAACTGAGATTGCGCCACTGCACTACTCCAGCCTGGGTGACAGAACAAGAGCCTGTCTCAAAAAAAAAAAAAGCCACAATGAGATACTCCTTCATACCCATAAGCCTGATAAAGATGTTTAATCTGATAATGTGAAGTACTGGTAAAGATGTGGAACAACGGAATGTAATTAGTACAACCATCCTGGAAAACCATGTGGCACTAGCCAGTAAATTCAAAGATATTCAGAGCCTATGACCTAGCAATTTCACTCCCAGGTATAACCTAGGATGATCTTTTTAAAAAATAATTTCAAACGTACAGAGAAGTTGCAACAATAGGTCACCTCACCCAGATTCACTAATTGCCAACATCTTGCCACATTTGCTTTATTGTTCTATCTTTACATGTATAAAAAAAGTTTCCTGAGCCACTTAGAATACGTAGTAAACATCATACCCATTACCCTCAAATACTTCAGCATATGTTTCCTTAGGACACAGAGATTCACTTATTTAACCAAATTATAATTATCAAAATCAAGGAGCTTGACATTAATGCAATATGAGCATCTAATCTACAGACTTTATTCAAATTTTGACAATTGTCTCACTAATATCCTTTACAGCAATTTCTTTTTTCCTGGTTCAGGATTGCACCTTACATTTACACGTCAAGTCTTTTTAGCTCCCTTAAATGTGAAAAGGTTCCTCAGCCTTCCTTTGTCTTTCAAGATACTGACATTTCTTAAAAGTTTGAGCCATTTATTTCGTAGAGTAGCTCTTAATTTGGATTTGCCTAACGTTTCTTCATGATTAGATGCAGATTGTATACTTTTGGAAGTAATACAATGTAAGGAATGTGGTGCTCTCGGTGCATCTCATCAGGAGACAGTGTGTCATGACTGGTGATGTGTGACTTTGATCACTTGGCTTAAAGTGGTACTTCCAGGTTTCTCCATGTAACATTAGCATTTTTTCTCCTTATGATTAATAAGTAAGTACTTATTATGTACAAGCATCTATAAAGGGGAGATACTTTGAGACTATGTAAATAACCTGCTCCCCATGGATATTTAGGATATCAAACTTTGTATATTCAAACTTTCACCCATGGTATTACCATCTATTGATGATTCTGGCCTTAATGAGTAAGTACTATGTGTCTTTTAAAA